CAAGCTATCAAAGGAATAAGAGGATTCTCCCTCTTCAAATCAAGATTAAGAAAAGCAGCGCTAGATACAAGTTACTGGGAATTCTGAGCTAAATCCTATGGCCTTGGGTGTACCAGGCATTGGAGATACAAGCCTTTAGACTGAGTTTTCTAGAGGTCCTTCTAGCCTTTAAAGCCCACGAACCTCTCCTGCAAAGTTGCATGATGGTATCGTCTCATACTGCTCTGTGACTGTACCAATATTTATGCAAAAGACACTCAACATTGGTTTAAAAATTCCGAAGTTGAAGAATCTACTATATTACTAAGAGGATTTATTTTAGTAGCTATCCACCCTCACTGAGAATATATGGCAAATTACTGAAAGCATCAGGTAAAGAAACAGGACAGTTATGCAATCATTTTAAAAGTTATATTTACTAAATAATTCGAGCCTGATTCACCATTACATTATGCAGTACATAATTGCTCATATTTCCAGGTTCACATCTCTTATCATCATAAGAAAGTAAATAATAGCTTCAAACGAGATCTGAAATTGAGTTCACGGTTGGAAAACATTCAAGTTCTTTTCAGCCTCATCTAAACATTTCCCTCTCAAGATAATGACCTTCCTACCTATTCACAGAAGTTTGCAAATATTTAATTCAAAATCAAATCTGGAATGCTTATGCTTTTGAAAGCATTTTCTTTGTGGGGAAAAAGGAAAAAAAAAAAAAAAAAAAAGAAAAAAGAGAAACCCAGAACTGGTATGAGGATTACTGCTTTGAAACAAGGTGAAAATCAACAGAGCACAGCTAGCCCAAGAGTCAAAACCTGTTGAAAAGGAAGGGGAGAGAAGATCAAGCAAAATGTGCAAATACTGGCTCTGTTAGGAGATCTCTGTGATGTCATAGTCTCAGCTAGCACCACACACCGGAAAGCTAAGTCACCCCATAAAATCTTTAACTTCCACAGCACATCTACCCTGGCATCTCTGGGTGGGTCCATGCTCCTCGCAGTTCACTGTGCAAAGGGAGTAAAAGCCCTGTTGTAGGGCACCCCAGAAGGTGCCTGTGCCCTTCTTCCCTCTGCAAAGGGAGAGGAGATGTCTGCTAGCCCCTTCCTGAGCACATTCAGGGAAGTGCTGGTCTTTCTTCTGCTTTATCGCCTGGATATTTGGGGACTGTAAAATGGTCCAGATCACATAGCAGACTGGGCATTTTTTTGAACCATATGCAAAGGGAACACATAGTTTGACTTCCTTCCTAGGCTTCTTCATTCCTCTGACTGCTGGACAAGTCATGCCAGCAGAAAAGCATATTACTTGCACGATATGGTCCGGATAGTTGTCTGGAGAAGGGGATTGCATGACTCTGCCAGTAAAGCCTTCCTCCAGCCAGGCTGTGCTCACAAGCACATGGTCTTAGATACCTCTCCCAGCCACAAGACCCTGCTTGTGCCCCGGTTGCACAATCCCTGCTCTTCTGAGAGCCAGGTCCTTCCCTGCAGGAGGGGCAGCTGTTCCCAACTAAGCTCCCGGTTTGGAGAACATGGGTACCTTCGTCCTCCTTGAGAGGCAACGGTTTGATCTCAGCCCCCAGCATCCACCAAACCCTCTGCAGGGCAGCTCCTGCCAGTCTGAAACTCTGCTCTCCGCCATCTCCCACCTCTCCTATCCTGCGCCCTGGGGACCAGATACCCCTTCAGGGGGGCACTGCAGTGGTGCTGCTTCTCCCTGCCTGAGCGCTGCTGGCCTGCGTCCCTCACCAAGGGCTGGAGGCACCCGTAGCAAACCTCTCCAGCCAAACCAGACAGGTTACAGGCAGCCCCAACCGATTTTGTGAGCAACACAGGGCAGGTCCTCACATCCCACGCAGGTGGTGGAAGACAGACAGGAGGACAGCCAACACCTGCACAGACCTGCTGTCGGGGACGTGACAGCCAGCCCACAGGAAGGCAAGAGGGATCAGAGCAGCTCCCGCTCAGCACCGTGGAGCCAACACTGCCTTCACCCAGCAGAGACCTGGAAATGGAGACAGAAAGTTCCTACAACCTGCCCAATAGCCCCTGGGGGGTTACTACAGCTTTTCCAGACAGACTCACTGCACAAGACCACAGAATTTAAAAGCAAACTCTGCCAGCTGGAGTAGAGTATTTAAGGAACCAGCTATGAAGAGGAGAGAAGACAGCACCAAGGATTTACAGGTAAAATGCATATTTTGATTTAAAGGTGTGAATACAGAGGCAGGGCAAAGTGGAGCAAGATGAGCAAAGGGTTAAAGGATGATGGAAGCGTGGAACAAATTAAACTTATCTGGGATGCATCCAATACTTGCATTAAATCCACATACTCTTTCAGCATTAAGATACCTCCCTGAATTATAAAGGATAAGGGAGGGAGGGCTTATATCTCCATTCTTAAATATATCACTTGCATCTCTTAAATCTGAGCCAGTAGAAGAGTTGAGCACTGCAAGTCAAATCCTTTTTAATTTATTCAGCAACACATCTGTGTGAAATATAGTCCAATTACAGGCATTAGGTTACTTTGCCATGTCTGCAGCCATTTGGCTTTTATTTCCAGCAGGCTCTAATTAAATTATCACAATGCAGGAGCAGACAAGTTTCCCTTATACGTGACTGCAATTAAAGACATGCAATCACAACATTTTTTTAAAGTGACTCCAATCAATTGGTTACAGTAAAGAATACCATGTAATAGAGCAGTGACTCCACTGTTAAGACTGAAAGAGGGTTTCTATTTCAATAATCTAGTTCCCTTTTATTACAAGTTCTGCTCTTGGATAATTTATTTAAAGTTTATTATGCGTCCACAGCATATATCATTTGCCCTCAGCTTGGGCTGCGGAAGTCCCATTATGGCCAATTACTTAGTGTGATAAAATCTGCCACAGTACAAACTGTTCCTTAATTAGATTTAAGTTTTGTCTAAATTCTATTTGTAATTCAGACAGCAAAATAATAAGGCCAACAGCAAAGACTTGCTGTCTCCTTTCTTTGGTCCCTGTGGTAACCTGTGAGCTTGGATGCAATCTTAGGGCAGTTCAGAACCAAGACCCCCACACCCATCTGCTTTTCTTGCAATGCTTGTCCCCACTTGGCATTCCCATGACCAGCACCAGGTTTGGGGGTAGCCTGGCTTGTGAGCGAGTCCCATGCTCCCCGACCCAAGCCCAGCCCTACCAGATACCTCACTGACAGTAAAGGGGACAGCTCCGAAAGCGCCTGAGAGTATATGGCTGCCAGCAGGGACTGCAGCAGCTGAGTGCCACTGCCGCGCTCTTCGGCGAGCGTAGGTTTTTGATCTACAGCCCCTATAGGTTTGCTGCAGCAGCGTGCTGGTAGGTGGAAAAAAAGCTGCTGGCAAAATGATAGTCCTACAAAGCCATGAAGAAAGTGGTGCGGAGAGCAGCACCCAGCTGTGCCCTTCGGCTCGCTTAATAGCTGTGCACTGTAAACACTGCGGTGTGCACAGCCCTGGTGCTTCCAGCGGCAGACAGCATGCCACGACCTGCTCCTGCAGGATGAGGCCTTTGCTATTAACCTGGTTAACCATTAGCCATACCAGAGGCTTCAAGCTTGTTTGGGAACAACACTATCGCTGCATTACTTCTTAACTGAATTAGAGCCACTGGATTTATCCAAACCATCCCCTGCACCGTCCCCAGCCACAAGAAGAGGTTTGAAGCTGGTTTGCTCTCTAAGAACAAATGCCAGTGTTTGGCATGCATCCCCTCAAGCTCCAGCTTTAGTTTTCAAAGTGTTTTAAATATGTTTGAATCAAATGTTCTGCACAAATTTGAATTCAAATCCTGCAACCTGTCTCTGTGAGATCTCACGAGTGAGGGTAGAAGCTACATAGAAAAAATTCAGAGTGGAACAAGAAACAGAAGTGGGGATTCAGTAGGATCCATTTTAACAGATCCAGGCCACAGTAATTTGAGGATGGCCATCATCCTGTAAGAAGTTGCATTCTTCCAGAAAACAAACAAACAAACAAACAAACAAAAAAACCCCTACACTAGAGTTTTATTCATTTTTTTCCCATCAAAACATTTACTCCGCTTTAAAAGAAAGAGGCATTCACACAAATGCACTTACTGCATGCAACATTAGCAGTTATTTGCCATGTGTTTCAGTGGCCCTGTATTTTCTGCTGTAGAGACTATGTACTGGGCTATCTTTACTTCCCTTGAATCCTGCTCAAGCCCCATATTGTATCTTGCAAATGGCTGCTTTGCAAAGTTGGATGAATTTATTCTGGTGTTTCAGAAAACTTCTATCTAAGACTGATGTCTAAGCAAAACACCACTTAAAAATTTTACACAGAGAGAAATTTACATAGCAGCTAATGACAAGCCTAAAAATAACCTATTTCTTTGCAACATCAATCTTGTTAATGAACTAAAAGAATGAAATATTCCTCTATCAGTTGTTTCCAAGGAGCAGGGAGAAAAATGTTAACCACTCCAGTATCAAAAAAAGAATATGAAATCATTTCAGCATCTGCCCTGTTCTCCACTTAATTAGCAAGGCTGCAAACAGCTTTTAAGGAGCAGATACATTCTGGACAGTTCTCTCTATACTTTTGGTCAGTAGCACAACACGATTAGTCTGTCCTTCTGCTCCGCTTGACCCCTGATGAGAGAAGAAGGTGAACTTTATATTCAAGGGGGGGCACATCACATACTGTGCGGCTGGGAATCCCTTATATGACAGCTTCATTGTGCCTGTGCAGACCCTTACCTAAAAATATGTATTTTAAAATAAAATTGTATCTACCTCTATAGAGATATGATAAAAGGCCTCTAGATCAGGATCAATTCTCATCAAAGCAGCAAGACCTTTCCTTATTCAATAATGGCACCTTAATAGTGGCACTGATGGGAAGTTGAAAGGAAAGACCCTTATTTAGTTGTTATTAGCAAGCTACCAGAAGGTCTTATCTGTCAGTGAACTCTAAACATTTCTCTTTTACTTAAGCACTAAGGAAAAAACATGAACACAACAAATGACAACTTAGCCAATCCCACCACCTGGCAAGACACTGAAGGTGATTTTCCCAACTGCACTGATGTGGAAGTTGGTCTGAAGACTTTGTACCTCCCCATCATGTACAGCATCATCTTCCTGGTGAGTTTCCCAGGAAACATCATTGTGATTTATGTTTACAACTTCAAGATGAGGCCTTGGAAGAGCAGCACCATCATAATGTTGAACCTCGCGCTCACAGACCTGCTCTACCTCACCAGCCTTCCCTTCTTGATACACTACTATGCCAGCGGGGAGCACTGGATCTTTGGAGAATTCATGTGCAAGTTCATCCGCTTTGGCTTCCACTTCAACTTGTACAGCAGCATCCTCTTCCTCACCTGCTTCAGCACTTTCCGCTACATGATGATTGTCCACCCTATGAAGTTCTTCCACATCCAGAGGAAGTGGTGGGCAGTGGTGGCTTGCACAGGCATTTGGGTGATCTCACTGGCAGCTGTCAGCCCTGTCAACTTCTTGATCTCCTCAAAAAAGGTGCAAAACAGATCCTTATGCCTTGATCTTACGAGCTCTGAAAACCTGGGCACAATCAGGTGGTATAACTGGCTGCTGACTGGCCTGGCCTTCTTCTTGCCCTTGCTGATGGTGACTCTGTTCTACGCACTTATTATTTACACCTTGGCTACTGGGCCCCACA